ACTCTTTCCGTTGACACTTTGCAGTCTCACCTTTTCATTGTCCCCTGATTAACCTTGTGAGATTGGAACCACAGAGCTTATCATGAGCCCAGAGTTACAAGTGAGCAAAGAGAGAGTGACACAAGCCTGAATTCACTGCAAAAAAGGAACGTGCCTGGGATCTCATTGAGCCAGGGCATGTGTTAATAAGACCAGTAAGACTTGGTTTTCTGACTCCACATTACAGGGCCCTTTCACTGGTTCCTTTTGCCTCCTTTGTTAATAAATATGTCACTTCCCTCCTGAGATGAATCACTTTGGCGACCCCCTTTCTAACTTCTGGCAATAAAATAAAATAGAATATTGCTCCCTTGGCCGGTCGTCATTTTGAAGATACCAGATGGGGCTACACTCTCATAATTCTCATTTTCCAGGACATCTCTCATTTCCCACATACAGGCTCCTCTGTAGCCATTTGTAGGGAAGGCTCTGGGGAAATAGGATAATTGCTTATGATCTTCCACATCCATTACCCAGGTCCCTCTGCTCAGGTATTTTTGACATTCTAAATGATCACTTTTAGAAATAATTCAAATCTGCTAGGGAAGACAGGGTAATTTTTCTTGAGCTGCTCAGTTTCTGTGTCTGCCTCCCATAGATGAAAGTTTGCAGATCCCACACTGCTGTGTCTGAATTAAATTTCAACAAATCCAATTTAAATTGTCTGAAAAGGAAAGGAAAAAAAAAACTTTAATTAGTTTCAAGCAAGAATTTTGAACCTAGGGCTGAACCCAACCTTAAAAGTTGCTCTTCTCCCACATTTTTGTCGTCTTTACTAACTTACTTACTTGCTGTTCTTTCTTTTTTAAATTCTGGCTTCAAGGTGTTTTTGAGCACCTGCAGAATGTATATAGCACTGCAGTAGGTGCTTATTTTCCTCTTAGGATTCTGGGCCATGAGCTCAATGCCCTTTGTCATCCTTTTATTTTCTACAGATGCTGATTCATATAATTGTGGGCATGATGTAATGCAAGGTCTCTGCAAATTACCAATGACCCAACTATGGTGTGCTCTGCAAATGTAGGTTTCCATTCATCGAAGTCCCCATTAGTTATATCTTGTCATTTCCCCCAGAAATCAAGGAGATGGAAAAGTAAGCGTGAGGGATCGGACTCTGGGAATCGACCAATCAAGGCTGCTGGGAAAGTGATCATTCAGGACATTGCCTGCCTTCTTCCTGTTCACAAGTCATTGGGAGAACTATACATGTAAGTTCAGAGTTTCAACTATGCCGTGCTTCCCACTTAGACATGAATATCAAAGTTGTTTATTTTATCTTATTTTATTTTTTGGCCGTGCCTTGCAGGATCTCAGTTCCCTGACGAGGGATTGAACCCAGGCAGTTGAAAGCCTGGAATCCTAATCACTAGACCACTGGGGAACTCCCTGTTTATTTTAGTTTTTGAGATACTGGAATCCTTTTTAGAAGAGGCCCAGTGCATTAGCTTTCTTCTGCTGCATAGCAAATTACCACAGACCTAGCGTTTAAACAACACACATTTATTATCTCAAAGTTTCTCTGGGTCAGGAGTCTGGGCATGGCTTACCTTGGTCCTTGCTCTGGTCTCCCCAGGCTGAAATTACGAAGTCAGCCGGGTGGTGGTCTTAACCAATGCTCAGGGTCCTCTTCCAAACTCATTCAGGTTGTTAGCAGAATTCAGTTCCTTGCAGCCGGAGAACTCAGGGAATTTCATCTTCTCCAAGACCAGCAGGAGTGTCTCACTGATGCTTCACTGTCTCTCTAAGGTCTCATCTGATTAGGTCAGGCCCACCCAGGAGAATCTCCCTTTTGACAATTACGGGAGTGATATATCATCAGTATTGACTGGTCTTGACCCCGTTTAAAGGGAGGGTTTACACAAGGCATGTATAGCAGGGGCCAGCAATCTTGGGCACAGTCTCAGAATTCTGCCTCCTGTACTTAATATGTAAAACAGTTTAAAAGCAGAGCTACTTTGGTTGAAGGGAGCTGGGAGGTAGGTGACAGGCACACAGAAGCTGCTGACCTGTGGTTCCCCTTCTTCCTGAACTTGAACACATAATAAAAAATATTTATTTTGTTGTTTATGTACAGCACATTACTCCTTGTTAGAATCTACAGTCAGCATTATACATATCTAAATCAATTTTTATTCAACCCTTAAGCCTGGGGAACTCCCCAGAAAAGCTAGCTGGCAAATTGTTCTTTGAATCTGGCCTCCTTTCCTGACTTCAAAGAGGTAAGCAATTTCACCTTCTGCAGGCCTGAAGGCAGTGTTACAGTGTAACATCAGCTGTAGGTAATCTTTTTCTCCATGTTATGTAGAAAGGGAGCTTAAGGGCAATACGAATAAAACATTTTGAGTGACAACCAAAGAGGCAGTTTTTAGTTTATTTGTTAAGCCAGGAGTAATTGATTTAGAAGTCAACTGGAAAGAAACTTTTTAATTATTCTTAAATTTCAGATTGAATGTGAATGATATTCAAGAAACATGTCAGAGGAATGCCACTTCTGCCTTGCTTGTTGGAAGGAAGGATCTCGTCCAGGTATTTTCCATTCCTTTTGTTGGAGATCTGGATTTTTCTCTTGGAGCAGGTTCCTTTCAATTTATTGTTGTGGTTTAGTGACATTTCAAGGTGTACCTCCTGTTTTGTAATTTCTTTCCCATTTTCTTTGCCAAACTGTAGGACTAGAGCAGCTTTTAAAATCCCTTAGATGTTTTCTTATTAGTGCTTAGTTGAGGAGGTCCTAAAGCATTTACTAAGTGTTTTAACATCCCTTTTCTATTCTAAGGCAGGTTAATACGTAAATTTGGACGTCTTTATCTTTGCCATTTACACCCTCAGTTCTGTTTTGTTTGTTTTTTACTTTTAAAAATGCTTCATTTCATAAAAGGTTTACCAAGGCATTCCTTAAGATAGAGACACGTTCAGTTTTAAAACAAGGTGTAATATTACAAGAATTAAAATTTCCTTCATCTTTGCAGAAACACATCAGTGCTTAAGCAAGTTGCTCCTATATTGGTGAGGTTTTTTGTTTTTTATTTATTTATTTATTTATGTTTGTTTGGCCGTGCCACACGACTTGCGGGATCTTAGTTCCCTACTAGGGATCGAACCTGGGGCCTCGGCAGTGAAAGCGCGGATTCCCAACCGCTGGACCACCAGGGAATTCCTGGTGTTTTTTTTTTTTAACTGTTTTATTGAGATTGTAGTCCATAGACCATGCAATTTACACATTTAAGATGTACCATTCAGTGGCTTTTAGTATATTCCCAGCATTTTGCAATCATCATCATAAACAATTTTGGAACATTTCCTTTACCCTGTAAAGGCACCGCACACTCCTTGTCACTGCTCAAGCCCCTCTTCCCCCATCCAGCCCTTGCCAACCACTAATCTATGTTCTGTCTCTATTGCATGTTTTATTCTTTAGTGTGAGGATTAGATTGAGCAGTGGAAACTATGAGCTGCTGTCCTATCTGCTCAGTTTTTTCCTTGTAACCCTAAAAATGACCCATAGCTAAGGCCTCCCCTTAATTTTTATCTGATTGAAAAATCCCTAAGATTTCCTTTTGTCTCCTAGTAAATATTGTCAAGTCTCTGCTGCAAACCCTTTTAAGTAAAACTTAGAGTCATGGATTTAATCTGTTTCTCTAAGGACCCAGCCACCTAAAATTCTGCAAACACTAAGAAGGCAAAACAAAGTAGTGGAAATAGTGGGGAATTTCTAACAGGAGGCATCAGCCTGACTCTGCTCCGAAGTGGTGTTAACACTGGGCCAAGTATTTCCGACTCTCTCAGCCTCTGTATATTGGTCAAATGAGACCCAAGAGAATAATTGCCTCACAGGGTTGATGAGAAGATTGGTTCACGTTCTGAAAAAACATTATCTGAGGAAAAATTACTTCCTAAAGTGTTTTTTTTTCTTTTTCTTTTAAGTTTTTTTTTTTTTTTTTTTTTTTGGGTCCTCTCACTGTTGTGGCCTCTCCCGTTGCAGAGCACAGGCTCAGCGGCCATGGCTC